TCTGGGGAGAAAGGGAGACCACAATGTGGTCTGTGGCGCTGGTCACCTTGGCTGCAAACACCAGCTCTCCCACTTACCAGTGTTGGGACACCAGGTCCGTTCCTGAGCCTCTCTGTCTGTTCTGTCACCTCTAAAATGGAGCTAGTAATACCCACCCGACTGGTTTGCTGTAAGAGTCAATTTGTTTACACACGTGCTTAGAAAGGTGCCTGCCACGTGGAGAACACCTTGCAAACATTACCTATTGCTATTAACATTAGGAAAGACAAGGTCCCACCCCACACAAAGCCTTTCTGCCAGTTGGAGAAGCAAGACAAAGGCCTTAAGACCATGAAAGAACAAAGCAAATGCCCGCCGACCTAGTGAAATGAGTGGTTTGACCATGAAGTACAAGAGAATGGCTAAAAGGTAAACATTATAATAGTGAGGGTGGCCAGCAAAGGCCTCCCAGGAGAAACCCAGCTGAGTAATGAGGTTAAGTAGACTCTGGGGAGATGAAGTACAGGGAAGAGTACTGGGCTCCCGGTGAGTTTGGGGTAACACTGACAGCCAATCAGAACAGAGGCCAAGAGTCTGGCTGGGGGACATGGCAGGGAGACTGCTGACCCAAGATATTGTTACTCTGTGGTTAGATATGAAATTACACAAATCCTGAGTGGTAAGGGGTGGAGCTGAGACTGGAAGACACTGGGATGCAGGTGATATTCAATCCACGGAAATACAGCAACTTCCTAAGGCAGAGGAGGAATAGAGAGGAAAGTGCTCCAGGCAGAGCTTGCAGATGCACTGACTGCAGGCTTGAAGGCCCAAAGTGAGATGGGAGGTGGAAGAGGAGGGAGGAGAGCAGGAGAGGTGGATTAACTCATAGTCAGTGTGTAACACCCGGCCAGTCCGAATCAGCAGAGAAGGATGGTTGCCAATAGCATAAAAGGGGAACTGGAGGGGAAGATGGTGTGCTGTTGATTCTCGCAAAGAAGCTTATCACTCTGGCTCTTCCGGTATAAACTCAGCTGTTCTCATTGTTGGAGGAGCTCAGGCCCTCACTGTCACTGAGCATGGCTGCAGTCCTCTTCAGAGACCTCTGGCTCTTACCTTAGGCATCCCTTCCTGGCTCCAGTGCAGATCCCTCAGCTGCTGGCTCAGATCCTTCACCCCGCTGGCACAGACTTTCCAGCTGCCACCACTGACATGTCGGCCTTCCCAGTGCAGACCCTGATACTGACTTGTGTGAGACGTTGCCATGGGATCCAGGCCCGCAGCTGGATTCTTGGGTCTCTAGTGTGTGGACAGATTTCCTGCACTCTTTTACATTTTACTCTTCTAGTGAATATTATGAAATAATTCTATAAATGACGTCTCCTTGTCATGGTTGGTACATTGTACCAAGCTGAGAAGGTTAGAAGCTTAACTAAGTGACTCAACAGGGGCCCAGATCCTCACTTTGTAAACATCCTGAGCCTGTGCAAGAGGAGGGCAGGGAGAAGGTGTGGGTACAGGGGACCCACCCTGGGGTGGGCAGCCTGCATACAACAGAAGAGGCCTGCTCCCCGCCAGCCCTTCGTTCTCTGCTGCCACTTTGCACTGTTACCCCTCATCGTGCACCCTGCCTTGGAGCCAGCTAGCTCATCATGGACTCAAACCTCCATAAGCTGTGAGCTAAATGAACCTTTCCTCCCTTAATTTTGGGTGCCAGGTATTTTGTCCCAGCAATGAGAGAAAAGTAAGACAGACCTATATTAATTCTTTCCCTTCCAAACCCTGACTACAACAGAGAGGCAGAGGCAGAGAAAGACAAAGCATGAATTTCTTTCAGAACTGAAAGTCTCTGAGGGCAAGAGTCTATTGGCAAGAGTCTATGAACCATACAAGTCGGTTTTCTGCCTAAGACATATCTCCATAAAGTGGTGTGGCTTTTTTTAAACCAAACTGACACACTTCAGCAAAAATTCTTTTGATTTTCAACCAACTCTTCAAATATTTTGTCAGTTTTCATCTGATCTAATGCTCCCACCTCAGATGATACAAAAGTGATAAGCGATGTTAGAAATTTCTCTTTCTCTCTCTTTTTTTTTTTTTTTGTTTGTGTGTGTGTGTGTGTGTGTGTGTGTGTGTGTGTGTGTGTGTGTGTGTTTTGGAGACAGGGTCTCTATGCAGCTCAGGCTGACCTTCAGCTCACTTTGTAGCCCAGGCTGCTCTCGAACTCGCAACAATCCTCCTGCCTCAGCCTCCTGAGTGCTGGGATTACAGGTGTGAGCCACCACACATGGCTGGATGTTAGAAATTTCAAAGACACTACTGCCAAATAGGAGCTGGGAAACAGCTAAATATGAGCCTGGGTCAACAGCATCACAATTAGAAGTGGGCCGCAAGGGCTTGGCTGTGTGTGGGAGCCTGGTCCCGCAGTGAGAGCGGGCACACTCAGGCACACCACAATCCCATGTGCATCCCCAGCTATTCAGCTTGCATGGCCACTTGTCCCCTACCTGCCTTTCACAGATCATGTTGCCTGGGCAGAGCAGAGGACACCAGTTCCCTGTTGGCCCCTCTCAGGCACAAACTATTCTGTCTACAAACTACCATTACCTCCACAGATTCTCAAGGGCTGCCAAGAGGTTAGGTGTTTCCATTTTTAAAATTTTTATTGTTTATTTATTTTAATTTTTTTTTTTTTTTTTTTTTTTTTTTTTTTTTTTTTTTTGGTACCAGGAATCAAACTCACGACTGCGTGCTTGTAAGGCAGGCACTTATGCCGCTGAGCTAAATCCCCAGCTCCCATTTTTTAAAAATTCTTATTTTTTAAAAATTTTTTTTGGTACCAGGGATTGAACTCAGGACCTTGTGTTAGTCAGGCAGGGTGCTTAGCTGAATCCCTGGCCCCACATTTTTTTTTAAATGGATAGAAAATCTACCACAATTGATGGCGATTACATTTGAGTCTGTGTTTCTTCTACACAACATTAAATATTTTCTAAAATACACAAATAGAAAACGCCTATAATCCCAGCACTCAGGAGGTTGAGGCAGGAGGATCACTGTGAGTTTGAGGCCAGCCTGGGCCACGTAGTGAGTTCAAGGCCAACCTGGACTATACACCAAGACCCTGTCTCAAGAAAATTAAAAAGCAAATAAATAAATAAAAAGATTTTTTTTTTTTTTTTTAAAAAAAGCAGGGCTGGGGCTGTAGCTCTTGAGTAGAGTACTTATCTAACATGTGTGAGGACTTGGCTTCCATTTGAGCACTACAAAAAAAAAAGAGAAGAAAAGAAAAAAGAAAATAGTTGTTTTATCAAGAGGCCTGTGTGCTGGGCATGGTGGCTCACGCCTGTAATCCCAGCACTCCGGAGGCTGAGGCAGGAGGATCATTGCAGATTCAAGACCAGCCTAGGCTACAAAGTGAGTCCGAGGCCAACTGAACCGCATAGAGAGACCGTCTCAAAAGGACAAGGAAAAAAAAAAAAGAGGCCTGAGGCTGGCAAATAACATCTGGGTCTCTGTCTTCTTCCTAGTTCATCACTGGAGAAACAAGGGGTTTGACGAGCCCCTACAGGCTCCGTGCCCACTCCCTCTGACCTGGCTTCTTTTCCACTCCAGCACGCCATGGTTTCCAGAGGAAAAGAAGAAAAGGGCTCTGTGTTTTTCTGGTAAACACTCCATGTATGATGCTCCAGGCAGGTGCCAGGGCAGAGGCAGAGGCAGACCTTGGCCGGGAGGCAGCCAGCTTGCCTAACTGAGGCAGAGGTAAACGCGCAATAACAACACCACCACCCGCCCGTGAGGCAGAGGTCAAAATCCATTAACCAGCCGCTTTCTCACTCCACAGGCAGGCCCACAGCGGTGCCTTCCTTTCTGCCGTGTTTTCTGGCTGTTTCACTCAGATGGCAGGAACCACTAACACGCAGACTCAGGGGAAACCTGCAGTCCAGAACATGAGGACCCCGCCATGTGGCTGGGGTAGTTACTGGGCAGGCTGAGTAGCTGCTCTGTGTTTGCGGGGAAGTGACAATAAAGATGAGATGACTGTTGCCTAAGGTGCCCAGGGGAAGGGTGGAGAAATGTCACGGTACAGGCTTAGAGAGGGCATGGTATTAGCCGTTAGCCCCAGCTACTCAGGAGGCTGAGGTGGGAGGATCAGGACCCCAGGAGTTCAAGATCAGCATGACCCACCTAGCAAGACCCTATCTCAAAACTTCAAAAAAAAGGTATAAAAAGTATGCACCGTGCAGCTGGGCATGGTGGCACATGCCTGTAATCTTAGCACTTGAGAGGCTGAGGCAGGAAGATTGCCACAAGTTCAAGGCCAGCCTGGGCTACATGGTGAGTTCATGGCCAGCCTGAACTATATGACAAGACCTTGTCTCAAAAATCTTTTAGAAAAAAGTATACACTTTGTGATTTTATCACACAATGGAATCATGCACAGCAATGAAGACCTAAGGAGTTCTCCATGTGTCATAGGAAGCAAAGACCTCAAACTGATCATTATTAAACAAAAGTATGGCATTCTATCATTTGTGTAAGGGAAAGAAAAAATTTCAGAGAACATCTTGAAGGGGAAACAGATTCACAGCAATGGTTGCCTCTGGGCAGGGATGGGGGGCTGGTAACAAACAGGATTAAAAAAATGGGTGTTCTGTGCCATGGTTCCCCTGTTGTGCCTTCTGCAGTGAATGTCACCCCAGAGTGACAGTGAGGATCTTGGGAGCAAAAGAGCACAAGACCTCAGAGACCAGAGGCCCATGTCTTACACAGGCTCTGGGAGTAGAGGCCACTGGCCTCACCTTTCTGGGTTTCGGTTTCCTTAACTGAAAAAGAAGAAGCCTAAGATAGGATCTGCCACTGAGGATCTTTCCGACCCAACATCCCGAGTGCCCGGCGCTCCGCACCTTCTGAGCTGGCTGAGGAGCCCGGTGTCTGCTGAGCAGTTCTGTTCAAAGGTGAGCTGCGTGGGTCATTTCAAACAGTCCAGGAGACTCATGACCAAAAAGCAGAAACAGGTGAAATTAGTTTTAATGGATTTTATTTAATGCAACATATCCAAAATAGTATCATCTCAACAGGCAATCAATACAAAATTATTGTTTATATCCCCCAGTATTATATTGGGGTTGGACCCAAGTCTTCATTGACCTACACCCCAGCCTATTGTTTTTTCCCACTTTGTGACAGCACCTTGCTAAGTTGCACAGGCTAGGGCTGAACTTGCAATTCTCCCGCCTCAGCCTCCTGGAGAGGTGGGATTACAGATGTGCACCACCATGCCTGCCTTCCATTCTTTTTAAGTACTTGGTCTTTGAAATCTCGTGTGTATTTTACAATGACAAAATGCCTCAATTTGGACTAGTCACCTTTCAGAGCTCAAAAGTCCCAGTTGACTGACTGGACAGTACAAAATTGACCAGAAAGTGCAGGTCCAAGTCCACCTTCACTGACCGCATTAAACCCAGAGTTAAGAACCGAAAAGGTCCAGGCCAGGCAGCAGAGTTCTGGGGCTGAGTTCCTCCCCCAACCAGCCAGCCCTGCACAGCTCAGGACAAACAGACCCTAAAGGCCTGGTAGCATGACACAAGGAACTTTAGGAGAGGAAAATGAGACTTCGTGCTCAGGGTTTTCACAATGTGTAACAATGCAAACTCACCAAAAGCATGTGGCCCTCATGTGTCAGTGGGCAAATCCTGACTGACCCCTGAGTCCTCTCACTCGCCCAAGCTTGGCACTAGGGACAGCTGGGCCTGTGTCAGTGACCAGTGGCACCAATCACCTCCTAAGCACAACCTCCCTACTCAGCTGGAGTACAGAACTCATAGAGAGCCTCAGGCTAAGAAAGGACAAACGCCTTTGGAGCACTAGCACGGGTGTGCACATGCACACCCCCCCACACACACACACACATACCACAGCACAGCAGAGCAGGATCCGAGCCTGGCACTGCCAAAGCCTCACGGCATGGAAGGCAAGGAGGAACTCCACGACCACAGGGCTGCCAGGGCAGGAGGGCTGTGCAGCAGGAAGACCCAGGAGAGGGTTCCCAGAGACACCTTTGGGCAGGATACTGAAGCAAGGACAGACAGCAGCTGCTGTCCTGCTGCTGAAGCCCAGCTGGGAAAAAGGCACACGGCGCTAGGGAGGCGGCAGCCCAAAGCCACACATAATGGGCTCTGGTTCTGCAGAGAAAATCTGGATTTTATCCTGCGGGCCATCGAAACAGTTAAGAGTTTTCTCCAGGGTAGTGAATGGGACCAAATTTTCATTTTAAGAAATTCTAAACCAGGCACACAAGTCCCACATAAAATTCTAAAGTGTGTGTCAGAGAGAAAGAGAACCATTATAAGGGAGGCTATCAAACCTTATCTGTCCTTCTCTCTCTCCCCAGGGACCTACGTTCCATTTAGAACCTATATAAAGAAGCATAGATTTGTTTTCTAAAGAGTACACCATGGCCTAGGAATGAAGATTTAACTCCAAAGGCCTGTGAAATGTTCTTTTTCTAAACCGATGTTAACTCACAAGCTGTGCAAAGTGATTGGCTAGTGAGCCCTCTCACGTTCTTGCCGTCACACTGACGGGGCTCCCTGCAGGTGGGTTTGCTCGGCCTCTGCTGGGCAGAGATGCACCTGGCAGGGACTTTCATGGTCCTGGCCATAGGGCAGCGGTTCACCTTCATGGACACAGAACGTGGCTGGTGAGAAGCTGAGTGTGAACTCCACAACGCAAGGATTCCAGTGGTGGCTCCACGAGGTTTGTTGTTCATTGCCTTAAAACCCACGTCTCGTTCTGCTCAGCCCCCAGCCCCAGGCTCACCTGATTACCCAGTTCCATTTTCGGCTCCTCAGCCTCTGAGGCTGGCCTACTTTGCAAGGCCACAGGAGCAGAAAAACCTGGGCATCCTACAAACAGCAGGACCATTCTGGGACATGGGATGTGGGGGTGAGGGCTGGCTCCCGGCTCACCACGGAGGCAGGAAGTGGGCCACCTGGAGAAACAGCCATGGGGCAGCCTGCGGAATGGCAGGGAGGCTGGCAGAGGGAGGAGGGGGCAGCCACTGAGCGTAACAGAGCAGGCCTTGGCCAGTGACACGCTGAGAAACCAAGCTGAAGACCACACGGCACCAAGTGAGCTCACCTTACCCAGAGATAAGGGCTGAGCAGGCCTCTCTGCTTACAGCGGTCACCGGAGAGGTTCCAAAAGCCTCCACCGCCTGCACAGGGAGGGCTGTGAGCAGCGGGAGGGCGCACATCTTCAGTAGGACCCTGGGGACAGCGGACTGACAGGTAACTACGCCAGATCTCTGAGAGGGGCGCAGCGGGGGAAGACAGCAGCTCTCCCCAGTCTCAGGTTAATTAAGGGATTGTCTTGTGGAAAGCCAGTCAGAAACAAGTTTCTCCAGGAGGTGAAAGGCCAAGGGGACTCCACTAGGGTTTCTCTGAACTTTGGCTCTGCTGATACCTTAGCCTAAAAAGTCACCCCTGCTTTGCCAAGAACATGGAATGTTTCAGGGATATATTCCCTGCTCCCAAAACCCCGCCTCTCCAAGGGGCCTCTGGCTGTAGGAAGCGCTGCCCTGGACAGTCCTGCCCTATGGGCCCACTGTTCCCACGGCCTCCACCGCGGAGGCCACAGTGGGGCACAGCAGGGAGGGCCTGGTGGCAACGAGACACGCTTTGTGCCTAGGTTGGCTCTTCCCAGGATGCCGCTGCCTAATGCCACAGCAGCCCAGCTGGTGACGGGGCCGGGCCTGCAGCCCTGCAGAGGTGGTGCATATTGGAGGCAGAGGCCGAGGCACATGGGGAAGACACTTAGTCGTGGAGCGGGAGCTGGTAGAGATGGGCAAACATGGCCTTCCGGATCCGTTGCAAGAGCTGAGCCAGCTGGTAGAGGAAGGGCAGGGAAGGAGGAGAAGCTGCAGGGAAAGGGAGAGACTGCTGTGAGTGTTCCTTCACTCTTTTTTCATGGCTGAGGACGGAACCCAGAGAGTGCTGAGCCCCTTCCCGGCCCTTCTGGTTTCAAGATGGCCTCCTCTGAGTCACTCAGGCTGGGTGTGAACTTCCAACTCTCCTGCCTCTGCCTCAGGAGTAGCCATGATGTGAGCCACCTTCCTCTGCCAGACCCTTCCGCCACGCCCCTCTCAGCTTGGATCCAGTGGACTACAGACTAAATCCTCTAAAAACAGTGAACCCAAAAAATCACTTTTTTACTGAGTGTGGGGTAATTTGTCTCAGCAATGAGAAAATAACTATGACAAAGTCTAAGTGTACATTCATGAGAAGAGTAGAGATTACATTTAATTCATGGAAAGTAACATAAAAAAGATTTCAAGCATGGCACCTGAACTTGGCCCAGTACTTACTCAGCTGAGTGATTATGTCTCAGAAAATAACCACAGTTATTCCACAGTACCACTCATTTCTACCTCCCAGTAAGGCAGAAAAAGAAATCACCATTAAACTGGTCAGTATTTGGTGGCTTCCAAGAACTTGGAAGGCTGAGGCAAGATAATCAGGTTCAAAGCCAGCCTGAACCATATAATGGAGCCCTGTCTCAAAAATCTTTTCTGCAGGCCAGGGATTTAGCTCAGTGGCACAGGTACCTCGTTGGCAAGTGCGAGGTTGTGAGTTCGATCCCCAGTACTAAAAAAAAAAAAAAATTCTCCAACATTTCCTCAATGATAGTCTGTTTTGTAAATTGGAATAATATTTAGCTATTTAAAGCCTTGCTGGAAAGAATATTCCTAACACAAAAAATAGCCTACTCTATACTGTAGAGAAAAACTAACTGCAAACTCATTAGCAGACTTACATAGGAAATTTATTTTCTTCTTTATACTTTTCTCTATTTTCCATTTTCTAAAATGCACTATATGAATATTTCCTTTATAATTTCACGTTTTCAGATAGACATAACACATCCTCACAGGCTTGGACCACTGGGGGTACATGCATGACTGTTCCACTAGGGAGCTTGTACCCCCGCCAGAACTGTCCCATGCCTCCTAATGCCATGGGCATGTGGGTATCACCAGTGGCTCAGAGCCACCAGGCAGCAGGCATACGATTTACGGCTGCACACGTGTTAATAGCTGAACCGACACATCCTGAGATACCATGATGAGGAATGTGGGTTGCTTTTCAATTCTGAGGTTCTAGTCAGAGTTCATCCTCAGATATAGCAGATGCCTGAAGAACTGCATCAGCATTCAGGGTCATCGGGGCAGAGAGCATCTCTCCCAACTCCTCTGTGCACTGGGACTGGTTTCTTCCAGCTGGGGCTGACTTGTGGTAGAGGCTGGGAGCAACAATACAGGGGGGGCCTCTGCCCCCAGCAGGCTCCAGCGGGGGTGCAGAGAGCCCCCACGTCCACAGACCCACTGCCATGAAGCAGCCCTGCCTTGGGGGCCCGGGGACCCACCACTTACCTGGGTCAAACCTCAACACCAGGACACAGAGGATCAAGGCGGCCAGGAGGCTCCTTTTGAAGGGCACAGAAAGGAAGTGGCTCACTATGGCATCCCAAAGCCGGTGAAGCAACCTCAGCAGTGACAGGAACTTGTGAGAGAAGGACCCTGGGCAGGGGACAGAGCACAGCTTCAGGCTGAGCCAGGAGAACTGACTTCCCCTGGCTCTGGGCTTCAGGCTGGATTGTGAGAGTTGAGGAAAGGCAGTGAGAATGATTTTCTTATGGAGCTCATTCAGTGATTCAAAAAGAAATTCTAACAGCTCCACGACTGCTCTGAGCACAGGCTGTATCGCTCCACTGGCAAGCACAGACCGCACCTATTCAGCGGGCCCAGCCTGCCACACCTGCTGTTTCTGTGCATGGCTTCTTTACCCTATAGCGTCCTTCATATTCTGGCCTATGACACATGCTCAGAGCAACACAGAACCACAGTTCTGGCTGTCACTTTAATGCGGTGATACCGTACCTTTAATACATACAGTGAAAATTCAAAAGCCTTGGGATTTGGACTATAACCATGAATATCAGGCCAAGATCAAGTGGCACCAGTCCTGACAGAACGTTCTAGATTTATCACCAATCCCCTCTTTTCACCTCTTCTTCCCCGGGAGATGCAGGACAGTAAGCCTGAATAGTCACAGCTGACCCCCAGGCCCACCACCCGCTAACAAATGATTCTACCTCAGCAAGATAGTGCTTTTAAGTACACAGAGAAGATCACAGTAGCCAAGTAACAATAACAAAGCCTTCATGTAAGTTTGAAAACTTTCATGTAAGGGGCTGGGGATTTAGCTCAGTGGCATAAGCACCTGCCTTGCAAGCAGGCGGTCGTGAGTTTGATCCCCGGTACTGATTAAAAGAAAAAAAAAAAAAAAAAAAGGAAAGAAAACTTTCATGTATGTAAGTAAAAGCAAACAAACAAATTTAAAAACCACACTGGGCATAGTGGCACGTGCCTGTACTTCTAGCACTGGAGAAGCTGAAGCAGGAAGATTACAAGTTCAGAGCCAGTCTGGACTATATATAAAGCAAGACTATCTCAAAAAAACAACACAAAGTAAAAGGAATAGGCCTATTCTATGTGCTACCAAGAGAAAAACAGGGATCCGTGAGTAGAGACCACAAGGTAAAAAGCTTACATTCACCCTAAGAAAGAACTTTGCAATGGAAATGTACAGAGGGAACACACCACGACAGGCATAACTGTCTGTTCTTGGAAGTACTCACATATAGACTCGAGGAAAAGGAACCAAAATGATTCAAGGGCCAGGGAAAGCGCCTGGAGGATGGGAAAATTGACTAGGCTCTGGCTTGGCCTGGCGGTACCTAGCAAAGGTTCTAGGCAGAGACATAGAGCTGCACTTTTCTCTGCCTGGCCAGGCAGCAGAAAGTAGGCTGTTTGTTTGTCTGTTGTGAGACAGGGTTTCACTGTGCAGTTTAGGCTGTCCTTGAACTCATTTTGCATAGCCCAAGCTAGCCTCAAACTTGCAATGATCCTCCTGCCTCAGCCTCCTGAGTGCTGGGATTACGGGGCATGTGCTACCACGCCCGGCAGGAAGTTAAGATTTTCTGAATCCCACATCTTGGCCTCTTATCCAGCTTTGGCACTCTCAGCTCCACGGGCTGGAAAATAAATGGCAAACTGAAATGCAGGCCATGGTGCTAGAATCCTTTCCTTTCAGTTGTTAATAGAAAATTAAATGTCATCAGAAAACTGAAAAACTCGGGGCTGGGGATTTAGCTCAGCGGCATAAGTACCTGCCTTGCAAGCAAAGCAGGCGGTCATGAGTTCGATCCCTGGTACCGATAAAAAGGAAAAAGACAAAAAAAAAAGAAAACTGAAAAACTCAGGATACACTGGCCCTGGCAAGTATCTCTTGTTTTGATTTCGTTTTTATTTTGAGACTGGGTCTCACTGTATAGCTCAGGCTGATCTTGAACTTTCACTCAGCCCAGGCTGGCCTTGAGCCCATGAGCCTCCTGCCTCAGCCTCCTGAGCACTGGAGCTACAGGTGTGCACCACCAAGCCTAGCCAGGCAAATATTTATGATGGAGCTGAATTTTAAAAAGCAGAATCTGTCTAACAGAGAGAAACAAAGATCTATTTGGATTTTCCACAAAATTTCAAGATATCTTTGAATAGGTATTATATTGTCTCACAGTGATTTTTCTAAGTAAAAATTATTATCAATTTCTTGCTTTCTTTCTTTTGGTACCAAGAATCAAACTCATGACCTTGCACTTTCCAAGCAAGCACTTGTATCACTGAGCTAAATACCCAGCACTATTATCAATTTTTTAGTGTGCTCTAAACTATTTGTAATTTTGTGCTTATTAGAGACACATGATCGTAAAAGAAAATTAGGATGAGAGAAAATTAAATAGTTCGCAATTTTGATTCTATCTCTGTGACCACTGAACTGGATTTTCCTGCAAATTTCATGTATTCTGTCTTCTAACCAGCAGTTTATTAGCCACAAGTCATCCACAGTTAAATGGGGATAATCAGCTGGGTGTGGTGGTGCATGCCTGTAATCTCAGGCTAAGGCAGGAGGATCGCACGAGTTTGAGGCCAGCCTGGGCTACACAGTGAGTTCAAAGCTACATGAGACCCTGTAAAGAAAAGGGGGGTAGGGATAATCAAAGAGAAAATGAAATAATGTACATCTGTAAAGACAATTTGAAAGCTTTAAACAAGTACCATTGTGGTTGTTAAGATTATTTGGTTGCCAGAATCATTTCAATTACCATAAACAGGTGACACAGGCTGTTACTGTGACATTCTGCTACAGGGGAAAAAAAAAACTGTTGTTTTTGATACAAACATTCTGGGAAGATCCTGATGCACACTTTTCAAACTGTTTCTATTCTAGAGGCACTGATTGAAGAGCATGTAACCATTCCAAGGAATGGATGGTAAGGGCAATGTGGGTTGTATCATGCTTTGAGTTCCAAGATCACTGGGCTGGCATGGCATGAATTTTCCTCTCTATGATTCATGGGTACTTGGCACAGGCTGGTGTACATTACGGTTGTTTGATTGAAATAAACATCCTTTTCTCTAATAAGTAAACAAATGCATAACATCCCTTGGAACAGAACAATCTCCACACCCACCTCCATAGGAGCCTCTTATATAATGCTGGCACAAAGTCACTGCAGGCTGATTGGCAGGGTGAGCCTCAGGGGAAAAGCCACTCAAAAGCTCCCAGTTAAGCGAAGGCAAACAGGATGCTGGGCCCAGGCACCAAAACTGAAGATAAGTAATTTTTATTTCCAACTCAAGTTATCAAACCATTGTTGGTTTTTCGGCTAAACCCAAGAATGTCTTAGCAGGATCCACATGGGGCAAGCACGGTGGAAACCAGACAGCTAGTGAGAGGAGACGCCTGATCAGATTAAAAGTATGGTGACATTCAGGAGACAAGAGTCATGGTTTGGAAACCCAGAAACACCTCCCCTTCTTCCTCTACCGCCAACTTCAGAAGGTCTGGCCTGGCTTTGTCAAGCAACTCAACAAGTGACCTAATCTGTGATGAAGGAGTTGGTGACACAGAGAATCGCGTGCAAGCTCTTGGGAAAGTTTTGAAAAGGACCCCAGGTGCGTGGAAAACCCGCACACTCCTCTCCACAATGTCCTACCTTCTCGGTTTATCTTTGGAAGCTCCTGGAAGCCCGAGGGCTCCTGTCTCTGCTGTTGCCTGGCTTTGTGAACCGCCTGGAGCACTCCCTGCCGCTGTTCCTCTCCAAAGGCTGCAGAGCTCACCACCAGCTCCTCTGCCTCTGACAAGTGGCCCAGAGGCAGCAACACACGCTGCAGGTGGAGCTCAGCCAGGACTCGGTATTCGGGAAGGGCTTGGTTGTCTGGGTCTTGGAGCCAGGCTCTGGCCACATCCAGCATGGCTGCAGGCTCTTGCATTTTGCTGTATAAAAGAATGCTGCATCCCCAGATGATCCAGTCCCCCAGAAAAAAAGAGTCAGGGCTCCACAGTTCATACATTTCTGGTATTCACCAAGCCTGTCCTATCTATTCCCCCCATGTCCTCCAGCCCTTCCCTATGGAATGCTGATACTGTTAGGAACTCTTAGCCAGGTGGGCTGGCATACATCTATAATGCTTGGGAGGCTGAGGCAGGAGGGTCTCTGTGAGTTTAAAGGCCAGCCTAGACTACTTATTGAGTTGGAGGTCCAGCCTGAACTACATAGCAAGACCTTGACTTTAAAAAAAAAAAAAAGCAAAGAAAAGAGAAAAAAAAAGAAAGAGAATTAGGAATGCCTAAGGAGGAGCCGCTCTCTCAGCTCTGACCACTTATCATCCCACTTCATTATTCCCTGTGCCCCCTCTCTTCTTTTTCTCTGTCCCACTCCTAAATTCTTTCTTTCTTATCCTTATTGTTTGGTTCTGAGGTCTAAAAAAAGGGTGAGAACTAGCTTTGGAGGGAAATAGTAGGGAAAGGGAAAAGAGAAGTGTTAGTCCCTGATTCAGGGGAGAGCAGGCAAAGCTTATTCCTGCACCAATCCAGTACCAGCAACAAGGGCCTACCAGAGCTCCAGGACTTTTGGAGGTAGCTTTTCAGGGACCTGGTAATACTGAAGGACCCAAGAGAGGACTTCCCGCCACCGATCCATTTCTGCCAAGGCCTGGATCCCCACAACACACAAGGAGCACTTCACCTCCAAGGAGCTGTCAGGAGAAAGACAAATTCAGGTGCAGAAGGGGTTACCTTCCAGTTTTATTTCTCCCTTTACTCTAATACTGTTCTCCACCTCCCCGCTCAGCAGCCACCAGTTCTCTCTTCATCAGTCTCACAGTCATCCCTTCTCCCCAGCCCCCAAACCTCTTAGCACCGAACTGGCTTTTGCCCCGGTGAAAGTAAATTTCAGAACAGAACAGAAAAGTAATCCTGAGTAGAAAATGGTAAAACTCAGCATAGGCACATTAGGTTAAAGATGAGAACTTAGGGTAAGATATGCTGAGTGAAGAAAAAGGGCTTGGAGCAAGTTTTCTGGCTGCCTTTGGGTGGAACTCCACAATGACCTTTTAGAGTTAGCAAAGCCGTCCAAATTCACTGCCAGGATCTCCTCCAGTCCCTTAAAAACACAACCAGAGCTCCCGCCGGTTTCTCTGAGCTCAGCTATGATCTCCGTGGTGTGGTTTACTTAACCTAATTTTACAATCCACAGAAAAAATAACACCCACAACTGCCAGAGACAGCAGATGGCATTAGAAAGAGCAATGTAGGACCAAGGTTTCCTTAAGATTAATTTTTATCTCTTTTTTGGTACCGGGAACTGAACTCAGGACTAGCCAAGCAGGTGCTGTGCCGCTGAGCTATATCTGCAGCCCGGAGATCAGTTCTTTAATCCACCAGTTGAGCAGCAACTACCGCACCACTCCTACCTTGACACCGATTCCCCACGATCAGCCAAGATCAGGAGTGAGTAACTTGGGTTGGGGGAAATCTAGGGAAAGACCCGTGTCACTTTCTGGACCCTTTTGCTATTCAATATTCAACACTTAACACGACCTGGCAATGACACAAACCCTGCGACCGTGAGTCCCTCCCCAAAAGCACCGGGAAAGGCGCGGAGTCCAGCACGTACGTGGCGGCGGGCTCCCCGGCCAGGGCGTCGTGGGCCAGGCTCTGGCAGGCGCGCTCGCAGGTCTGCAGCGCCGCGGGGAAGTCGAGGTGCACCACCAGGAGGTCGGCCGCCTCCTCCAGCAGGTGCACCGCCGGGGACGCCGGCGCGGCGGTGCGCGCCGGCTCGCTGCTCCGCAGGGGTCCCCCGAGTCCCTTCAGCGGGCCCGCCGAGCCTGCGGCGGCACTCTTCATCGCTCCAGATGTCCCGAATCAGCTGGAAGAGGAGAGAGTCCTCACAGCCTGCCCGCGACCCTCCCAGAGGCTAATTCCTGGAGAAGGAAAAGAAAGGGCAGAGGCTAGACTCGCCAATAGCCTGTCACCGGGGAACGAGTCTATATTTGCACGATTTCTGATCCGTAAAATACCTCACGTTGGTTTCTCCGGCATGCGCCAGAACCGCGTTAGTTCCAAGAGCCGCTTTCCGGGTTCTTTTGGCAACCCAAACCCTGAGTATGGGCGCCGCCATCTTGGGTGCTCTCTGTGCCCCGCAACACGCCATACCGATCCGTGGGACTCTGGAAGTTGTAGTACCCAACTGTTCGGCTCTAGAAGCAAAGGTGAGAGCTCGGACTACAACGCCCAGCATGCCACGCGCCAGAAATTGTCACTGACCTGGGTGGAAAAAGCACTAGGCTGCCACCTTAGGGAGAGATGGACACTTAATGAAACCTCAGTTGAAATTCCACTGACAAAGGTGGCGCTTCTGCGGAGGGTGGCAGTTAATCATAGGGGACGATCAGGGCACTAAAAGGAGACCTAAGTGACGGCTATGTTTCCCGGGTCTGTTCCTAGGCGCACCTTTGCACAGTGCTTAAAGGGCCTGACACTGCTAAGAGCTTTGTGAGGAATCTTAATTCTGTTACCCGATTTTACGGACAAGGAAGTTGGCGCTTATTTCAATAATAGGAGCTTATTTAAATAATTTCCTGAACGTCCCACAACTAGTAAATGACAAAAATGCAGTCAAACCAACACACTTTTGACTCAAAGGCAAATATTATTTAACCACTATTGTGTTCAGTAGGGACTGAACTTAAAACTATGCTTTGTATTCCGGGGATGCACAGTCATCACACAAGAAGAAAAATTTTCTTTGAATCTTTATATAAAATAAGTAGCCAGGTGTGGTGGCATACACCTGTGATCCCAGTACTCGGAGAGGCTGAGACAAGAGGATCACTGGGAGCTCGAGGCCAGCGTGAACTACATAGTGAGACCACAAGACCATGTCTCAAAAAAAAGGGGAGAGGATTTGTGAAAAAGTCATTCTCAAAAAGCAATTTACAATAAAGTATTTGGAATAAATCAAGTATTTGATAATTGCAGGTATATAATTTATGCAGATATGTAAATTACACTTATAATCTATGCTTTACCCAGGCTGTGTGAAGCCCTCACATTTACTCTAAAGCCTATTGATTTATAGTCTCTCCCCAGTTTTCTGCCTTCTGAACTCTCCAAAGCTTCCTTAGAGTCATTGATCCCCTAGACAAGCCAGGTATAGGCAAGTGCCTGCTCTTAGTATGTATCCCCTTCCTTTCTCTCTGGCGTAGACTCACTATCTTCCAGGATTCTGGCTCTCTGCAGAAAGTTTTCACAAAAAGCTGAGGCAGAAACATTAAATCCATCAGACTGAGAAAAAATAAGCATAGATCCTGCAGCCATCTAAAGCTAAAGCAAAAGTTTCATTTATTCTGCAAATATTTATAGAATAGTTCCAAAGTGTGGGCACTTTCTCTGCCCTAAGGATCTCGCAATGATCAAAAGAAATAGCATTAATTGCCCTCGTGAGCTTATGTCATAGTGGAAGAAACAGGCAGTAAACAAACAGTGAGCAGAGGAGCTGATGGCATAGCTTACTGGCAGAACACTCAGGGAGGATGCATGAGGTCCTGAGTTCAAGTCTCAACACCAAAAAAACAAAGAAAAGCCCCCCCCCAAAGGAAGCAAGCAAATATTCAGTAGTGTACCAGGTAGTGACACATGATAAGGCAAAATAAAATGGAGCAAGATTGCAGCGACAATCCTAGGGAGGTGGATTAGTATCTGTGATTAACTATTTACTTAGTGGAATTCCCACTAAGTCCCTTTTCCTCACCAGGTGATATTCGTTCCCCCACTGAAAACTCCAGAAGCAAAGCAGCGATGCCTGAAAAGCATGAGTCATTCTGATGTGGCTTCAGCGCCTCCTCAGATTAAACTTCATCATTACTAATAACGTTTATCAGGCTACACACATAAAAGCGTGGGTCTTTCTCAGAACAAAATTTAAAAGTTTGCCCTGAACAATTACAGAAAGAGAAAGAGCAGAAAAAATATAGAGCTGCATAGGCCTAGGCAAAACCAGACTAGGACAATCACATTCCCCTCACTTACCCACTGCGCCCCTCTGAGTTATTGCTGCCTGGATGGAAGTCCGCTTCCCTGGTGAACGCCTAGCAAAATTCACGCTACGCACTATTTTTCCTGTAGATGGCAACACAGCCTTAAAGGAAGCAGCTTTGTCAGAAACGAATTTGGCTGTTTAGCTATAAGGTAGCCACAGGGAGGGTGAAACCGTTAATGTAGGAGTGGGGCATGGTAAAAATCATATAACAATAAGATTGGGGGACCGGGGATTTAGCTCAGTTGGCATAAGCACCTGCCTGGTAAGCGCGAGGTCGTGAGTTTGATCCCCAGTACCAAAAAAAAAATTGGGTTCCATTTTTCGACTTCGCTGAATTTTCAACTATATATGCAAGGCTTCATATGGCCACCTAACCTTTGGTACAGTCATGCCCACAGACTGATTTTTCAGCCCCAGAGATACACCCTCCATATTTGACGGTACCCAGAAGCTCTGTCTGAGCCCCAGGATTCCTAAATGGAATGTGAGCACACATGTATTATTCCTGACCGATGCGAGCTGGGGGACCCTGTCTTCCTCTCATTTGCTCATCCTTGAGGCAGACAAGGAGTAGATATAAGGGCGGTTCTTCTCAGTCGATAGGGTCTGGTTCCCACCTGTACACTGTTGGGATTGTTTTGCTGTGGGAAAACCAGCAGAGCAAAGGAGACATCAGTATCCCAGCTATGATCAATTCCCCAACCCCTACCGAAACTCTGGAGTTGGATTTCTTCCCTCCCTCCCTCCCTTCCTTCCTTCCTTCCTTCCATTTGGTAAAGTGCTCAGCCCACCTCCCTCACCTGCAAATGTGAACTTGCTCAATCTGCTGTAATAGAAAAAGCACAAGATAGAAGATGTGAGACAACAGAATCCTGAGTCTCACTGTGAGAAAGCCATGCAAAAATATACACCATGCTGGGCATGGTGGCGCACACCTGTGATCCCAGCACTCAGAAGGCTGAGGTAGGAGGATCACTTAGAGTGCAAGGCCAGCCTGGGCTACATAAGTGAGTTCAAGGCCAGCCTGTCTCAAAACAAACAAACAAAGATACTCGTCCAACTTCTCAGCCTCAGGCTTTGTTTTTGTACCTGTGATTAAACCAGGGAACACTGAGCAACATCTTCAGCCCTTTTGTATTTTATTTTGAGACAGGGTCTTGCTAAATTGCCAGCTCATGCCGGCTTAGGGTTTATGATCCTGCCTCAATCTCCTGAGAAACTGGCATGCACTGCCACACCCAGCCGGCCTCTGTCTTATCTAAGGACGCTGATACCAGTCTGCCACAGTCACAGTCTGATACCAGGCTGTGAGCGTCAGAAGAGAGACTATGGTAGCCCACTGAACCCCTTAAATCTCCAGAACTGTTCGGGCTGAAACAGTGTACTAGGTCCAGAGATGAATGAGGAGCAGGGAGAATCCTCCACCTTCCCAGTCAGTAATCTTACTTTCTGAATCCAACTCAACTCCTCCATGCAAAGACCAAAGATGCCCGTATGTACAGTCATCCTGGCCCTTCCTGTCCCCAAAACACACACAGCTGCTCCCTCAGATCTGTCCCAGCTGGCCAGAGGCCAGAGCCCTCAGGAAGGGCCATCTGTGGCCACACTGCAGGCAATGCATCATGCACCATGAGGACCTTTGGCCAGAGACAACCCAAGGAGCTGAGTGTGGGTGAGGCAGAGAGAGGTTTCCCAGCGTGGCTCCAGAGCTCCGTTGGTTACTGGGCATTTTTATGGCTCTTTTAAAACCCTGGAGTCCAGGGTACAGGAACTGCTTCCTGCTCTCTGCTCTCCATACAGATGCAGCAGAACTCCACTCCTGATCTGAGAAGTGATCATCCCAGTCATGCTCCAGCCCTGTTTTATAGCACGGTATTGACTGTCTGCCCTGTGCCCTCTGAGCCCTGAACAGTTAACTCATTTCAGTCCTCCACCACTTTAACAACGGTGCTGGGACCCTTTCTTGTAGATGGAGGAACTGGGATGCACAGAGGGTAGACGGCTTGCCCAAGGCCACACCACATTGCATGGCAAGGGAAGCCCCAAAACCAGGCACTGGGGCCAGAGACGTTTATCCTTATCTGGGACACACACCCGGCCTGCCTAAGTTACTTTCATTCGTCTTAGGTAAGCTGGACATCAAGCCTGTGGACAGGGAGCATTCTTACTGTAATTATTATTAACCCCATGGACGGGAAACTGAAGCTCAGAAACTCTGCGCAAGCTCACACTATGTGACTTAAGTAGCAAAGCTGAGCCAAGCAATGTTCTCACAGACCCCATGCTCAGGGGCTGTGTGACCCCCGGGGGGCAAACAGACCACCACAAAATCAGCCCTTACAGTGGTAAAAGTACTTGCCTGGGTAAGGCCTGGGCTCCAGCCTCAGCACTACGACAACAAAAGGACAGAAAAACTGAAAGAGCCATTCGCCACTCCTCTGCATCACCTTGAAGGGGTGGGGGGGGGGTCCTTCTAGTCAGCCCTTTCCTCACCTACCCAGGTGTCAAATATTTACTCACAGAAGTGGAAGAAATCCTCCTAAGATCTGTCTGCTGCTCAGAACACGGTAATGGGTGCTCTCCGGGAATGGGTAATTCAGCCATGGTTCTCTCATGGAAGAGTATCAAGATGCTCTCTCTCCTCTCCTGTGTCTCTGGATCCCACCTAGCTTGAGAAGATCATTGTTCCCATCAGACGCACATGTGTGCTTTACTCTTTTGGGCCTGTCTTGTGGGTCCTTTTCCATTTCCATGTTTCTTTGGTTTGTGTTGTTTCCCCTATTGGATGGGAACAGGGTCCTACTCATTTCTGGGTCCCTCCCTGAGCTTTCCAGGGTGGCACAAAGCTACAGACACACAGAGCTCCAGTGGGTATCTCTCCTGAGCAGTTCTGCACATCCAGGTGCCATGCTGGAGAGCCCCAGGGAAACCATTGGGAGACAGCATCCCCTCTGCCCCTGAGAAGTGAGAGATGCTTAGAGATGTTTCCTACTGACACCACCACAGCCTGCCTTGTAAACTAGTGGTTTATGATGTCCTGTCTAGGGTGTTCCTCTTTGTCTCCTGGGAAGCAGTCTAATCAACCCAGTCATGCCGAGTCAGAGAATCTTCAAAGTTGGGAGGAACCTTCCCATACTGCAGTTGGGGAAA